AGCATACACTTACTCAGCATAGTTTGTCATAATGATTAAGAAAAAAAGAAATTCACTTGAATACCGAAACAAGACTGAATCATTTTTTCTCGTTCCTTATTTGCTTTAATTCTATGTAATGTGTTACTTCAAATTGATGTTACCTAATATGTATCTGTGTTAAATCATCATCAATATTTCCACCAGCCCGTGATCAGTCTAATTGATGTGCACATGTGCACACATGTGCCCCTCGCTTTGCAAAATATTCGACAACATTTCCAGAGCCTATTGTTATTCACGACAATGCTACACGGAAGAAAAGTATTTTTAAAATTGTAGTTAGAATTTTTCTCTTAATGAAGACTTAATTTTATTTTAAAAGCAAGTAATACTGCATTTTGAACAGAACAGAATGCTTCTAAATAATGCATTTAAGCTTTTACCTTTAGCTGTTTCGAATAAAAACCTCTGCCCTGGGAAAAATCAACAAGAAATTCATCGGGATCCTTTTTAAGCTCCGATGAAAACATTGGAGTGTTATAGGTTAAACGTGTATATCTGTGTATCTATCTGTCTGTATGTGGCATTGTAGCGCCCAACAGGAGGAACCGATTTAGATTTAGTTGTTTTTTTCTTGGAATGTGACATAATCAAAAGTGTTCTTAGTTACAATTCAATAAATCTGTTCAGAAGTTTGAAAATAATCAGCTCTTTTTATATCGGGGGTTTTTAAACTTTCTAATTTAAGTTATCTCTTAAAACAATGATTACAATAATGTACAAAATAATATGTCCTACAATTCAATATGAAAATATTTATAAACAACATGGTAGTAATCACCTCATTTATATGGGTTAATCATATTAATAATGTTTACTACATTTTTGCTTCTGATAGATAATACCTGCATAATTTCCGGGATTTTGTTATAAAAACGTAGCGTTTACATTGCTTTATGAAGAATTTTACTGACTTGACTACTAATTAATGAGCTTTTTTTAATGCAGCTCAAGGATTTTTAATAAGCTGCTTGCCATACCTGGGAATCGAACTAACCAAATGTGAATAAAAGTATCGTGTAATTTTATAATACCAATTGAAAATACCCTCTGAACTGACTGAAACTTCGTTTTAATAAATTCATGATTCACACCTGTAAAAGTATCGTAAATACACCGCGACGATCCTGCTTCAAATAATTAGTAATCATATCACAGAACTGTTCCACAAAGACCTGCTACTTTGTATCAGTGAGGTTGTGCGGCAACCAACGCGAAATTATCCTCATCACGCGAAGGCGTCAGGTGAAATTTCATAATAGTGCAATAGTATGTTTTGAATCTTCTCATACGTAATTTGCTTATTATTTTCATTCAAAAGTTTTACTACAATAAAACATTAAATAAAGAGATTTAGCACGTTTGCTTCACCTATCACTAGTTGACCGTGCTGAAATATGCTATAATATCAGCGATGCGCGGTTGCCTTAGTCCTGATGACCAAACTTAATGCCTTTTTCTACATATGCCACTTGAAGTCATTGAAACGATTCGTACAGTTTAAATGACATTTGAAATCGTAAAAAATCATTTTGCGAAAATGTTTCCGACTACTTTTTATGGAAAGGCGTGCGTAAAAATTTGAAATTGGAACATTCGTATTTTTGCATTAATGGAGGTTTTTCCTTTATAAAATTAAATAATGCCTTTATCATACCTCATCCTGCAAATAAATTAAAAATAAAACTAAACTCAACCGCGGAAATTTTTTCGGCCATTAAGTTATAGGTGTGATCGGGCCCAAAATCAGTTGGGTTTTCTATCAAAATATTCGCAGTAGCAGCCCGGAGTCAAGATTTTAGCGGTGTTTCACCCTCGTTGCTCAGAAAACACGTAAAGCTGTAGGTTCTGCAGCCAATATGTCTATATTTTTTGTCAGATTACCATTCCATCGGACTATGAGAGTATGAGGGAATAGGAAGTGCACCACACACTCCTGATCCATAATTCTGTCCTTCGTCATTAAAGTATATAATGTAGGTAATCCCTTGGTACTTATGTACGTATTAAAGAACACAATTACTCTTTACCGAAAGCTTCGTACATAATATTAAAAGTCGTTGAGACAGTTCGCCTTGACCAAAATTTGGTCTAAAGCCGTTATTGATGGGTTGGAAATCTTATATTTTCTTATCTTTAATAGAAACGTTACCCCCACATCATCAAACATCCAGACCCAGAACAATTATTTGTAGGCCATACAAATATTTGTTCTGTGCGGGATTCGAATCCGCGGCCCCCAGCGCAACAACTCATTTACCACTGCCACTGCGTCAAGGAGACGTCATAGGAAATAGTAAGAAAATTAAAAAAATCAAATATTTAGCGCTCAAAACACACTCAAATACTGAAATACTTAAAATAAGAATACCACGCATTTAAAAATGTAGGAAAATTATATTATTTTAAACCTTTTATTATAAACTGTTTATTTACAATATTAAGAAACTATAATAATAAAAAAAACTAAAACTAATAACTTAATTATCAAACAGTCCTACTTTCCGTGGTATCGTGCCAAGAACGCTGGCTGCGTTTCCCCGCTGAATGTCTATACTTAGCGTTTGAGCGAGAAAACCAGCCCTCTTATCACCAGCAGCGACAACCAGTCGCGGATAGAGTTCCTATAGGAATTTCACTGCATGCTTACGCCAAGGACCGATAATTTTTTTAGCAAATGGCACAAATATGTAGTCATCTCTCAGAGACTCATATTTCCGCCGCTTACCCAGTACAGCTGCTTCTGATGCCGCCCGACTCTAAACGAGGTACCACAGAGATGAAAGTCCTCCAAAATGTCTACGCAAGTAACATTCCACACTAGGGCCTTACTTGTCTCCCATGGGACCAATGTCATACTGTCGGGTCTCCTGCCATCGTCTCTAAATATACAACAAGGCTCTAAAACCGGACGAACATTTATAGAGACAAGAGCCCTTCGGATGACATCATTCAAAGAACCGTGCCGTGAAAACCTACTTGCACTTTTCTTACATGAAAGTCCATGGAGCCCAAGCTCGTTGACGCTGCTATCACAGGGGCACTGATTGGATTGACAAATTACCGCTCCTAGTTGGATTCCTAAGACGATGCCCAAGCTTTCTCCATCAAGTAATGTGCCTAGAATACTTGATGGTAAAATCATTCCTTAGGTCAACCTTCTGCATCAGAGTTTCTTAAAAATGCACGCACTGAATGTACCACGGCCTCACAGCCACCTCTAGTACCCAGTTGAGTAAGCTGAAATATTGTCTTAAGGTTAAAGATTATGTGGCTGCAAGCTAACTTTGAAGTTAGTCTTCGAAATGTGGAACTAACGGCGATAGGACTGAACCGTTACCCTTTTTTTTTTCAAAAACATATTTATCTTGCCCCATATAAAAATGGAATGAAATTTGGATTAACATTACCAGAAAGCATTAAAAACATAATTTTGTAATTTCATTAAGAAGTAAGTTCTTAAAGACAAGACTCAATTTCTTAAAGACTTTACAGTCTTTAAGAAATTGAGGCGTAACTCCGACAGCAGAGCCATTCGAAAATGACAATTTCTTCTAGAGTCTTTTTCGGAAATTTGTAAAAATTGCATAGAAGTCTTGGGAGGCAGCGGTGAACTTTGAGAAGGATGGACCGAAGGATGCTTCTGACGAAGGCTTTCAAGAGTTTTGACATTACGTGGAGCCAGGATGCCGTCTGAGAATAAAATACGGAGCGCATTTTTTAAGTCACCATCATGGTCTAAGAGCTCATGACGCATTTCTCATGAAGTATTTCATGCATCATGAAACGTTTTTGAAACGTATCAGTCCTCTCAATAAGCAGGTATATGACTATTTGCCTGGCCTACCTGGGTACGTTATTGTATAGAAATAATATAAGAAAAGCTCCAAATCGGATAACATAATTTATAAATCCAACGGCAATGTAAATTTTAAAACTTTTTATAGCTGCAAAAGGGAACATTATACATTCTGCGCAGCTCCTGTGATATACATTCTAACGGCTTAACCCTTACGTAATGCTATAGACTCATCCAAATCCGTTCACAGGTTTTGGCGTGATGCTTGTCCAGACAGACAAACAATGTTTCCAAAAAAATGTTTTGGCATCTGTTTAGATAACATAGGCTGATAAAATATTCAAGGTACAGAAATCATCGTGTTAGTTTTATTATAGTATAGATAGATAAATAATAGATTAGGACTGTTATGCGATCAAATAAGCACCCAGGAAGATTTGTTTTACTAACAAGTCACGGCTTAGGGTTGGAAGGACCAATTTATGGAGACGATCCAAAGAATGATAAGCTCAGTGTAACATTTCTGCAAGAAAGCCTAATAGTAGAGAGTCAGTTATGGTTTGGGAAACGTGTACTTGTAGCTTGCCTTTCCATTAAGCCCAGCAACTAACTTCTCATTTGTTTAGTGACCCTTATTATGTATGCTATATATACTGTATATTATACATATATACCTACATTTATTAAAAATTTATGCAATAATTGAAAAAAAGTTGTATGCATGTTTTCATAGGTTCACAGTGAAGAGTAAGGCTGATACAAAATTTTTTATAGCTATATAATAATAACATAACATATTATTTAGTAAATCTGTAAAAGGTAATATTTTATTGTATCTCAAAAGCATTAAATTTAGTTCAGATTATCTAGTTTGATGCGTCTTTAAAATTACACGAAGTTGCGTGTCTAGGAAATGTTGAAAGGCAGGCTTATCTTTTTGCTTCCATAATTTAAATACTACCTTGGCCGCGCCCGTCACTTAATCACTACATTTAAAAGTATAAAAACTATGTACATCTTTTACCATATATATTCAAACAAAAAAAAAACATGTGTGCAGTTCACACGAGGTAGAAAGAAACCTTAGTACATTAGCGTTTCCACAACACGGTTTTAGGCATGGTCGTAGCACCGTACACTATCACAGTTTTCAGAAGATATGAACAGTAGTCTCGACCAGGGGCATCAGGTCCTGGCGCTGTACATAGACTATAAAAAAGCCTTCGATACCTTGGATTATGAGGTGCTGTTGCGGGCCATGGATGAGTGTGGAATCAGGGGCCCCACAAACAGGTGGTTCTCTGGTGTTGCTGGTAATGAAGTGGTGGTACAGCTTGGTGTTCCGACTAGTTCAATCTATGGTCCGATTGGCTACGTTATGCATGTCAATAGCGTCATTAATGTGGTGAAGAAATGTCGGGTGTATATGTACGCGGAGAATATACAAGAGATCAGGGCTGTACTACAGGCTGACTTCGATAATATTATCCGGTGGGCTCACGATAATGGTATCATACTTAACCTTAATAAGACGAAAGTGATGCATCAGTATTCACCGCACAACTCAATGGCAAAAAATGTCAAGAGCGTGGATATAGGTATCGTGGGTCACACGTATGAGTGTATGCACATCAAAAATGTAAATTGTGTTTGTCAAAAGCTAGAATATGTCAGCAAATTTAAGTATCTGGGTCTGTGGATGGACCGCAACATGAATTGGAAAACACAGGTTGACACAGGGTGTACAAAGCTTAGGGCAGTGTTGAGTAAGTTTTATATCCTGAAAGCGCCGTTGAGTAGAAAAACGCTGCGTGTCCTTTATTTTGCTCTCGCTGAGTCATTACTAACCTATGGATTAAATACGTATGGCCGTACATTTAAATCTTATCTTAACAGTATAAAATGGCTGCAAATTCGTTTTATGACATACCTTGTTAGCCCACAAACAAAACTTGCCTGTAAAGAAAATTATGAAAAACTATTTATTGTCCGTAAGGTGCTTCCTGTATATGAAAAGGTCTTTTAAAAAAACCTTTTGATTCTAGAACAGTTCTATAACGACCAGTTTAAAGTACAAGTGCAAAATAGGTACAATACTAGAAGCATTAGAGAGCGTAAACTCGCGCTACCACCAGTAAAAAATTACAATGGCAAAAGAACAATCAAGTATTTGACCCCTATACTTTTCAATAATATCGATTGACTGAGAGAAGATAATACTAGAATAAGTAATCGAACACTAAAAAATAAATTACAAACTGTTTCCCTTAATGAAGTTGTCTCAAGATGTGAAAATATTAACTAATTTGTTGTTGTTTTAATATAACTGTGGTGGCGTTGTCGTCGCACCACAAGCGAAATATATCGAAGCCTAAATCGCGCTAACAAAGTTCCGAAGTTAAAGCAGTATATATATAATAGCTCCCAACTACCAACCGGAGCGTTGGCCGCTCCCCGAGCAGAACACCTTGCCCGGTGGGAGATTTCGCCTTTTCCTTCTACCGGCTACAGTAGTGACCAACCGACGTGATATGAACACGCAACCAACAAACCTTCGGAAACTACACCTTCAAACCTTCATTATCCTCAAGTACTCCATTTCCATTCGCTCCCGAGAAGATATTGTCTGCAATCTTCACATTCTGCAAGCAATCTAGCTTTACAAAGGTTCATCGCAGCACTGGAATAATAATGCTTCCTGTTCCTTCAAGCTACTCTCTGCGCTACAGTATTCGACACGGCTCTGAGACTCACTGCTCGCCTCTGCTTCACGGCACTCTCGCAGATTACTTGCCTTCTTCTCGACTCACCGCAGACTACAAGGCAATCCCTGGCACTTGCTCCGGCTCATCGTTCTCACCGGCATCACTTGCAAGTACGTAGTACGGCATGCATTTCACACCGGCATATCGTTCGCACCGGCGTCACTTGCCCTTACGCACACAGCATGTATTCCCCACCGGCACTAAGGACGCACCGGCAATTGGACTGCATTATCGACCTCTGGTCTGAGCAGGGAGGTGATGTGGCGGCGTTGTAGTCGCGCCACAAGCGAAATATATCGAAGCCTTAATCGCGCTAACAAAGTTCCGACATTAAAGCAATATATATATATATATATATATATAATAGCTCCGAACTACCACTAGGAGCGTTGGCCGCTCCCCGGGCAGAACACCTTGCCCGGTGGGAGATCTCCCCTTTTCCTTACTACCGCCACATAACTATTGACAATTACGTATATTAGACGTTATTATTTACAGTTTTATTTTCATTAAATTGTATACTTACGTATTTAAACCAAATGTAATAAGGCAAACGCTAATCCCGCCGACAAACTGTTACGCAGTTTGGTGGGTGTGAAAAATATACTAAAGGTTTGATCCAGAATAAATGATTTATTATTATTATTAAATATATAATACCAGCAGGTCGTGAATTTTTCTCCTACTATTTAATTTTTTTTAATTTATTTATTCATAGAAAGAGTGTTACATAATTTACATTTCAAACTTTGCCAAACTGTATGCCAGTTTGTCGGCAAGGTATTTCAAAAAATGCCAACCGTTATTCGTAGGGACACTTATGTGAAACTTCGCAGCCTCTGAGACCGAGGTAAACTTGACTCACTAACCGATGTGTCCTAGGCATATCATCTTAGTGCCGGCGGTAAGCGGGTTTGTTGTAGCAATACGACTTGCCCGTGGACATCGCACACCCCTACCGTTTGTGGGCGACGTCTTAGCGCATAGCGTTATGATACGTCGGCTATCTTTCGGATTAGGGTGAGTGTGTTTGGTAGTACTTTTAAGTGCAGCAAGCATACTCAACTTCATGTCTTAGTGCAATAGCGCTATGATACGTGGAGTTTTGGCTACTGACGTCTTAGTACCGTACTACTATGATACGTTTGTGGTATTTTTAGTTAACAACATTATCAATTTTGTTACCAAAGTCGATAGGGATCATGTGGGTGTGTTGTGAGGGGGCGCCATCCGAATGATAGTTGCATTGATGCTTACTGCTACTTGCAGTATTGCGTCTTGTGATGGATCTGCGGGTGTGCTGCACCTGATTCGATGCATCTTGTGGTTCTGGTCGATGGAGGTATGCGGGTGGTGATGTCTGCTAGGACTGTATGGGGGACCTTGGGATGGTGTAAGCCCGACGACAGCCGTATTGATGCTTGTTGCATTCTGCAGCATTGCGTCTCTACGATGGTTGTTTGGCGGGTCGCTATTCTCAATGGCGCTCTCTGCGTCTTGGTTTGACTCACAACCTAAGTAGCTTTGCCCAAGTCGGGTCCCTTCATTGCGGGGCTGCAGACTGTCTGCCCTCCATGATGTTTAATATAACAACTTAATAATATATCTCTATAAAGTTCCCACATTTGAGAGATTGAAGGCAACTTGTTGGTAGGTGCAACAAACATGATCGAAAAATGCATATACTCAACGTCAGTGACACAAACCCTTTCTGATGGCGAATTATTACTAATATCTTATAAGTGCCTATTGGCTATATCTGCCATTGTATTGGTTGGTGGAGCATATGTGTCGACCTCATGCGGGTGGTAGCTGGAGGGAGAATCTGAGATAGCTCTCAAGGCTGCGGCCGAAAGCCGCGCAACGTGGGACCCCATTCCCTTGAGGTGAGCGGTAGACTCATGACACGCTGTGCGGCCAATTGGCCGTGTTGACCATGCAATTGGTTGTGATGCCTTACACTTACATCACGTCTGCAGGAACGGCGGTCTGGCAGGTGGTGGCTTTTTATGGTCAGTGTGCCTATTGTTGCCCAACCCGTGTGACGTACATTCACTGTGGCTGGATTTGATCGTATTCTGTATGGCGTTTACACGCATTGACATGCGCGACTTCGGTCGATGTTTGTGCTTACGCACTATCAAGGGGCCAAGTCCTCTTTTACTGGTTCGCCAGTTATTTTGATGTGGACTACGGTCCAGTTTCCAACTTAGCGTACCCTTCGGGAGGAGCGCATTAAAATGGTTGGCGCTCATCGTGCGCGGCGTGTGCGGAGCCGTGTACCTCCTCCACATTTTTTTTAAAATGTGGGAGAGCGAAGCCCTTTTAGCTGGTATTTGATATAAATATTGTGAGCCTTTTCCAAGCGGGAAGGGATTAATTAATAAGGAATTGACTGTTGTGAACCAAAAACAAGTGGAATAGGGACAATTTATTGTTCTTAACCTTTTTGAGCTCTGTCTTCGTGAACGGGGTTCTTTAGCTTATAAGACTCTACCAACAGCTCTTGATTGCTCTCGTGAATATTCATTCTTCCAAGATACACCTAGAAAAACTAAGTTACTATACAAACACAACGTAAAAAAGGGTCCTAACTAAGACGATCACGCCATAAATTTATTAAACGGCCTATATTTAAACCTTTAGAAAGAGATCAAGATATACTGATCACGTAAATTAGATATATTTATATATCTTACAGATATAGATTCTAAAGAAATACAAGTATAAGTAGATATATAGTAGAAAAGAAAAAAGATGGGGGGGGGGTTCGTTACAATATGCAAGAGAAACAACGTTGGTGATAGCACGCAGCCTTGTGGAACACCAGCGTTGATAGGCTTGAAATCAGAGCATGCACAGTCTACTACGAACTTGATGCTCCGATCTGCAAGGAAACTGGTGATCCATTTGCACAATTTCTCGGGAAGCCCATAGGTAGGGAGCTTCGAAAGAAGCGCTTTGTGCCAAACCCGATCGAAGGCCTTCGCAATGTCCAGACTAACGGCCAACGCCTCCCCCTTGAACTCTACTGCCTCCGCCCATCTATGGGTCAGGTAGACCAGAAGATCACCAGCTGATCGACCCCGACGAAAACCGTATTGGCGGTCACTAATCAGCTGGTGATCCTCAAGGTACCGGATGAGCTGGCAGTTAATAATGAATTCCATTATTTTGGAGAAAAAGGAGGTGATCGCGATAGGCCTATAGTTGGACGGGTCTGAGCTGTCGCCTTTTTTAGGGATCGGGTGGACAAAATCTGTCTTCCATGAATTCGAGACTACGCCTTGGGAGTAGGAGTACCGGAAAAGATGCGTTAGGACCGGTGCCAACTCGGGGCTCACGTCCTCAGCACAATTGGGGAGATTCCGTCAGGCCCACTCGACTTCTAGATGTCCAGAGAGAGCAGTGCTTTGCGAACCGAGCGCTGTGAGAACAGCACATCCGGCATGGAGCACTCACACCGCGGGATGGTCGGCGGTGTTTTGCCCCCGTCATCAAGAGTCGAGTTGGACGCAAAAAGGGAGCCTAAAAGGTCAGCTTTGTCTTTTGCGTCTTGGGCCAGTGAGTCGTCCTCACTGTACAGAGATGGTAGTGATGGCTTACAGAAATTCCCTTGGACAGCCTTGGCGAGAGACCAGAATGCACGGGTTCCCGAAGGAAGGCGAACTAGTTTCTCGCCAATTCAACCGCAACCGCGAAGGGAGCGTGAGTGGCACCACACTCCGGATCAGACAATGGTCGAAGAGCCGAGAGGGGCATCGACGGAAACCTGATATCTGTCCGGATGAGAGGTCAGCAGAAGGTCCAACAGGGAAGGTGTATGATCCTCCACATTTGGAATACGCGTAGGCGAAGTTACCAGTTCTGTCAGACCATATGCCAAGGCAAAGTCATGAACAGATCTCACCGCATGATCGGTTAAACGTGAACCGAGCCATTCGGCATGGTGGGCGTTAAAATCGCCAAGGATCACAGTCTCTGCGGATGGGACCTGTTGTAGCAAGGAATCTGTAGCCATTTGGATGTGGTCGATGAGTCGGTCTGTTTCGGCATTACCGCTATGGGACCTATAGAGGCACCCGTAGACGCGCGGATGGTCGTCGCTGTCTACGCGTACCCAAAGGATGGACAGGTCCAAACCATCAAGACTGCCGAGGCGTCGAGAACAGATGTCCTCTCTGACATACACGCAAACTCCAGCCCGAGGCACAAAGGAGTGCTCCAATTTGTACCCCGGGTAGGAGAGATGCGAAATATCAGTCGAAGAGGAAACCTGCGTCTCGGTCAGAAAGAGCAAGGCCGGCTTCGCCGTCTCGAGATGGTAGTGGACGGCGTTTAGGTTAGAGTGAAGTCCCCTGATGTTGCAGAAATTCACGGATAGCGTGGCAGGGGTCGCCTTGGTATTGTTGCTCAGTTTGCCCCGAGCAGTTATGTTTTTAAGCGGAATTTTGCCCCCCCCCCCCCCCCCCCCCAGAATACGCGGGGCAGCCTGAGCAACCACGCTCAGGGTTGGAATAACATGGTCGTGGATGCTCAGCGAGGGATTCTTCAGGGGTACTGGTATCCTCCTGGGGTAGTCTATCGTGTAATTTCGCTACCATGTTGATGGGGAGGGGGGTGGGGGGGAATTAGGCCTCCGGCCACCTGCACTCACCAGACGACACGCAGAAGCAGAGCCTCTACTTCACGCCTCATTTAATAAAACAGATTAAAAACATAGTTGACAAAAAGGAAGTGTCTCTTGAGGAATCACAAAATATTCCATACACAGAAAAGTGCAACTCATTCAGTCCGACCCGTTTATATGTGCTACTTTTTTCGAAACACGTTACCTATAAAGAATTAAAAAAAAACATGGCTGTCTCCTGTTGGGCCTTTTGGTGAAAGTTAAATAAACCATCAATACCATCGAATAGAATTCCAAAACAGAGATTCTCCTCATGCCCATATGATGTTGTAGATAGAAGATGCGCCTATTTTCATTCCTGGAGATCAATCATCAATTGAAAAAGTTATAATGTTTGTTATCCAAATCATAACCTGCAATAGTGACGAATTAGATGATGATTTAGTTAAGATACAAACTCTGTATAAAAATAATATTGGTAAAGAAGATTTAGAGGCTATACGTCAAGACATTTCGTCCTTGTTACGTCGAAGCTCAGCGCCGAAATTAAATCTTCCCAAAGATGAATTTACTGTGTGGCAGCACGGCCGTAGCTGTTGACCGTTCGGCAATCGTCGGGAGCCCTCGGCTGCGCTGGAGCAGCCGGTTCGTTTTTCGCCGCCTCGCCAGTCGATGTGACCGTCCGACGCCGTGAGGCCGCTCGTCCGCGCTCCGATCCACGACTTTAAACTTCGTAGAAATAAACGGTTATTTAATATATGTGGTGTGTTGATTATTCGCATCCCCACATATAATTGGTGACCCCGAGTTCTCAAAAAAAAAAAACTGTATAGTCGTGCAGTGTGTGTGAACTGTGTGTTTTTTTTTTGTCGGTTTAAATAAATTGACCGTTGTAATGATGTCAAAGAGTGGAAATACGACAAGTGACGAACAAGAAGTGTGTCGAGTGGCCATTAAGGTACCTCCATTTTGGCCGGACGAGCCCGCGCTTTGGTTTGTACAGTTAGAAGGACAATTTGTGCTTTCAAATATATCGCAGGACAATACAAAGTTTTACCATGTAATTGCTAATCTGGACTATAAATACATATCGGAGGTTAAAGACATTATAACTAATCCACCAGTTGAGAATAAATACGAAAAGTTAAAAAAGGAGCTTATATCGAGGTTATCGGCTTCTCAAGAGCAAAGAGTTCGGCAGCTTGTGGCACACGAGGAATTAGGAGACCGCAAACCTTCGCAGTTTCTACGGCATTTGCGCAATTTGGCTGGAACCGATGTCCCAGACGAATTTATCCGATCTTTATGGACGAGTCGCTTACCAAGTCATATTCAAGCTATCATAGCTACGCAGACAGATGTAAACTTGGATAATGTAGCTTTATTGGCGGATAAGATCAACGAAGTCACTCTCCAACCTCAGGTGCACCACATAGCCACACCGCCACATCACACCGCCACTTCAGCCACACCGTCAACTTCGTCCGAATTTGAAGAATTGAAGCGCCGCTTAGATGACTTATCTCGTCAGGTGGCCTCTCTGACAATGTCACGTTCTCGCCCTCGTTCCCGATCACGTGGTCATCATCCCAATGGTCAACGCCGCTCACGAAGCCGCTCTGCTACTGGCACATGGAAGTGCTGGTACCATTGGAGGTTTGGTAGCTCTGCAACTAAGTGTCGCTCCCCTTGCTCGTTTTCACAGGGAAACGACAAGGGCAGTCCATAATGGCGGCCGATGACTGCCGTTCACCAGGCCGCTTATTCGTGACAGACATTAAAACAAAAGTACAATACTTAGTGGACACTGGTTCAGACTTAAGTGTATTTCCGTTGTGTAAATTACGCAGTAAGAGACTACATAAAACAAACTATGAGCTTTTCGCAGCTAATGGCTCAGCAATCGCTACGTATGGTTGGGTTAATTTAACTTTAGATTTAGGCTTACGCCGCGCTTTTAGTTGGAGATTTGTGATAGCTGACGTCACAAAACCAATTATCGGCATAGACTTTCTTTCATTTTTTAATTTGCTCGTAGACGCTAGACACCATCGTTTAGTAGACAATACCACCTCTCTTATTGCTAAGGCTTATTCTGCTTCATCATTTGCTTTGTGCCAAATTAAAGTGTTTACAGGTACTTCACGCTATCATAGCCTGCTGTCACAGTACCCTGAAATCACGCGGCCGTCTGGAGATCCTGCTGTACGGGAAGTGAAGCACCACACCGTCCATTTCATCCACACTACGCCTGGACCACCTGTCTTCTGCCGTCCACGACGCCTAGCACCGGATCGGCTCCGCATTGCCAAGCAGGAGTTCGAGGACATGGTAAGAATGGGTATTGCCCGGCGCTCCGACAGTGCATGGTCCTCACCGTTACACTTAGTACCAAAAAAAGATAACACGTTTCGTCCATGTGGCGATTACCGTGCGCTCAATGCCCGAACAATCCCCGACCGATATCCGGTTCGCCATATAGGTGATTTTACACACAATCTTTTTGGCTGCCAAGTGTTCAGTAAAATCGACCTGGTGCGAGCGTATAATCAAATTCCAATCGCACCAGAAGATGTATGTAAAACGGCAATTGCTACACCTTTCGGCTTGTTTGAGTTTCCTTTTATGGGGTACGGGTTAAGGAACTCAGCGCAAACTTTTCAACGATTCATGGACGAAATCCTTAGGGACATAGACTTCGCTTTTCCCTACTTAGATGACATCCTGATTGCGTCAAAAGATGAAGCTAATCACGAGCGTCATTTGTGTACAGTCTTCGAGCGCCTTCGAGAGCATGGTGTTGTCATAAATACTGCTAAAAGCATCTTCGGAGTACCAGAGGTGGAATTTTTAGGCTTCATGGTCTCAGCTGAAGGTACGAGGCCCACAAAAGAAAAGGTCAGTGCTATTTTAAATTTTCCATTACCTAAAAATGTACGAGAGCTCAGAAGATATCTTGGTATGTTAAATTTTTATCGCCGATTCCTACCAAACGCTGCTCAAGTACAGACGCCGCTGCATCTTCTATTAAAAGGAGAAAATGTAAAGCCATCTACGCTCATTACCTGGAATCCAAAACTCGAACAATGTTTCGCAGAAAGTAAGTCAAGTTTGGCAAATGCCAGTTTACTAGCTCATCCCGATCCGACAGCAGAATTGGCGATTGTTACGGACGCATCAGATACTGCTGTAGGAGCAGTTCTACAACAGAAGAATGACTCAGACTGGATACCGTTAGCATTTTTCTCCAAAAAGCTTAACACAGCTCAAAGGAAGTATAGCCCATATGATAGAGAGCTGCTAGCTATGTATGAGGCAATAAAATATTTTAAATTTATGATAGAAGCTCGATCGTTTACATTATTCACTGACCATAAACCACTTATATCAGCATTTAATAAAAATTCACAGAATTTATCACCACGACAATTTCGATACCTTGATTACATATCACAATTTACTACAGATATCAGGTATATTAAAGGTGACGATAACATTGTTGCGGATACACTTTCTCGGATAGACGCTATCTCAAACGTAATAGACTTACAAAAACTTAAAATTTCACAAGAAAAGGATAATGACCTCGTTAAACTTATAGAAGGCAATTCTTCACTGAAGCTGCAGAAAGTTGCCATTTCTGACTTCGGGAAGAAACTGTACTGCGACATATCCGGTACGTCTCCTCGTTTATATTTGCCGTTAGAATTTCGTCGTGAAGCATTTGATTCGATACATGGGTTAAGCCACCCAGGAGCGAAAGCTACAATCAAGTTGGTAGCACAACGATACGTGTGGCCCAGTATGAAAAAAGACTGTAGAGAATGGGCACGTGCATGTATAGACTGTCAGCGCTCTAAAGTCTTTCGACACACTAGATCGCCAGTACAACCTTTCTCGCCACCGTCCAATAGATTTTCGCACGTGCACATCGATTTAATTGGACCATTACCTGTTTCGCACGGTTATAAATATTGCTTAACGTGCGTAGACAGGTTCACACGTTGGCCCGAGGTAGTTCCTTTGGAGGATATAAAAGCCGAAACTGTGGCTAATGCCTTTACTCGTGGCTGGATCTCGCGTTTCGGATGTCCTCATAAAATAACCACGGATAGAGGAAAACAATTTGAGTCGCACATATTTAAAGAGCTATCTAAACTCACAGGTTCTCTCCACATCTCTACCACCGCTTATCATCCAGCAGCTAACGGCCTCGTAGAGCGCTTTCACCGACAACTGAAAGGTGCCATCATGTGCCATGCAAATAAGGACTGGTATGAAGTTCTTCCGCTAGTTCTTCTAGGAATACGCTGCGCCTGGAAAGAGGATATAGCAGCATCGGCTGCTGAGTTGGTGTACGGTGAGACGTTACGTTTACCTAGTGATTTCTTTATATCGAGCCTAAAACAAGTCACTGACTACACAGATTTCGTATCCAGGTTACGCTCACATATAAGAGAGTTAAAACCCTCAATAGTCGTTCGACATGGAACCCCAAATGCATTTATTCATAAAGATTTGCATAAGGCGTCGCACGTGTTTCTAAGGCAAGATGCTATCAAGAAAGCGTTGCAACCTCCTTATTCCGGTCCATTTAAGGTCATAGAACGCGATAAAAAAACTTTTAAAATTAACGTAAATGGTAAAATTATTACGGTGTCTGTTGACAGATTGAAACCAGCCTATACTCTCAACGATTCTACGGAGCCCTCCGAAGAACTACATAAAGAACCCAGCTCGGCCTACACCACAAAATCTGGCCGAAAAGTGAAGTTTACGGACTTCTACCGACCGTAAAGATCTCCGGGGGGGCTGATGTGGCAGCACGGCCGTAGCTGTTGACCGTTCGGCAATCGTCGGGAGCCCTCGGCTGCGCTGGAGCAGCCGGTTCGTTTTTCGCCGCCTCGCCAGTCGATGTGACCGTCCGACGCCGTGAGGCCGCTCGTCCGCGCTCCGATCCACGACTTTAAACTTCGTAGAAATAAACGGTTATTTAATATATGTGGTGTGTTGATTATTCGCATCCCCACAACTGCATTGAAAAACTTACGCAACAGACCAGATCTTACGATTCTCCGCGCAGATAAAGGTAATGCTACGGTTATAATGGATACGTCGGATTACAATTTAAAAATACAACAACGTTTATCGTATGAAAGTACGTACGTAAAGGTCAAAACAGACCCTACAACTAATACGCTTAAAACAACTAGCGATCTAATAAAGAAATACTCCGAGAAACTGAATCTAGACGTAAATTCGATAATACCTACGTGTGCCAAACCGCCGAAGTTGTATGGGTTACCAAAAATACACAAACTGAACACTCCATTACGTCCAATAGTGAGTCAGATCGATTCGCCAACTTACAGATTGGCTCAACACTTAGCAAAAGTACTATCACCACTCAGAGGACATACAAGAGCACACACTAAGGATTCATACCATTTTGTCAGTGAGATAAAAGACCTATGTCTTACTGTCAATTAAACTATGGTCAGTTTTGATGTTCAGTCTCTATTTACATGCCTACCTGTTGAAGACTGCATCTCAATTATAACTAGGAAACTAGAGGAAAACAACATGCCAGCAGAATATGCAGTATTACTCAGACATTGCCTTACATCTGGCTACCTATTGTGGAAGGAACAGTTTTACAAGCAAGTAGATGGTGTTGCGAGGGGCTTACCGGTATCTCCCATTGTCGCCGATATTTTCATGGAGGACTTTGAGGAGAAAGCCCTGTTTACTGCACCAGTAACTCCAAGTTTCTACAAGCGGTACGTAGACGATACTTTCACAATTTTACCATCAGACAAAGTAACTGCACTTTTAGAACATCTTAATTCCATAAACTCTAAAATTCAATTTACTATGGAGTTATAGGCAAATAATTCTTTAGCTTTCCTAGATGTGTTAGTCATTCGAAATCCTAATAACACCGTAGGTCACACTGTGTATAGAAAAAAGACCCATACAAACCGATACTTAAACGGTGAATCCCACCATCACCCTTCACAGTTAGCTACCGTGGGCAAATCTTTGTTGCAGAGAGCACGAGGGATCTGTGACAGCAAACACCTGGCCGCCGAGCTTCAGCACGTCAAGCAGGTTCTGCACGACAACAAGCTTCGGGTTCCGCACCTACGTCACAGTGATCAGAGGTGTCACAGACAAGATTGGCTACATCTTAAAGCGAGCTTCTATTAGAACATTCTTCAAGCCGCCGAAGAAGATTAGTCAGTTCTTACCATCCGTCAAGTGCAATATTCATCTACAAGATGCAGGAGTATACAAGTTTGATTATGAGTGTGGTCTCTCATATATAGGGCAAACAAAACGATCAATAAAAACCCGCGTAAAAGAACACATAGCTGACGTGAAGCACCAACGTTCCGGGAAGTCTGCAGTTTGTGATCATATCCTAGACGGCCCCCGCCATTACATTAGATTTGATAAACCACAAGTCCTCGCGAAAGAACATCGATTCCTGCCAAGGATGATACGTGAGGCTATTGAAATTAAAAAACATCCTAATTTCAATAGAGAGGGAGGCTGGGTACTACCACCTGCTTGGGATCCTGTAATTCATAAAATTAAAACTAAACCCAAGCATACCACTGCAAGACTTCAAGACGCAGTTAGTTCATTCTGCGTAGATCGGACCAAAACTTATAATTAAACAGCTGAAGGTACTCCGGGTTAACTTTGACATCGGGACGTCAATCACCTCAGTCCCCCGTGACCACGGTTGCTGGAAAGCAACCGAAACGTCGGGAATATAAAATAAGTTAATTAAACGCGATAAAATCCGTAAAAAATAGTTTTATTCAAGATACAAACTCACAAACACACACATTCATTTAATTTCAAGCCAAGTCGGCCTTGTAGGTTTGGAATACCTTTTTTTCCAATGGATAAGACACGTTTTCTGATACCCCTGGATGAAGATAATCCAAGCCTAAAAGAATGGAAAGAAGTATCTAAAAAGAGAAAGGGACGACTTGGTGAGTATTCTACCACATTTAAAATTTGATGTGTACTTAGCATCGACAGAATTAAATATCGAAAAGTACATATGGGCAGTTAGATCAACACTTAAACGGCCCATAATATGTCTACAGAGACACCCAAAAGACGTCATGGTTAATCAATTTTGCAAAAAAGTATTCGAATTACAGCGAGCTAATATGAATTGCCGATTTATACTAGATCCATTTGACTGTTCCATTTATAATGTCGATTTTATTAACAAAACTGATCGAGGCATGTCAAATTTACTAAGAGAGGCGGTGGAAGAGGCCAAAATGGCAACAGTAGCATAAGGGACTCTCTACGCACTATATCAAAAGTATTTCTAAGCTCTTCAGAAATTTCAGCCCAAGAGGCAATTTACTGTCTGGCGGGACTTCCTATGTTACAAGCCTCTGAGAGAGATGTTTACATAAACACAGGGCACCCCAATGAACGAGTGGGTATTTTGAAATCTTTAATAGATTTGCAGTCCTTGGATCCATCGTCCACAGACATATTTAAGAAAAATTTACTGGATCATTATAAAAATCGCCCACGTGATCAAACGTTTGATGCAATGAGTTAAGCTTATTTTGCTGCGTATTATACTTTTTCAACTAAAATCTCGTGTACACATGAAGGTGAAAACACTGACCATTAATGTATAGGAAATTGGATTGAGTTGTTAAATAACGATGGATACGTGCGAAAAAGAAGAAAACCCAGGGTCATACGTCTCCGAAGATATAATAGAGCTCAAAATACTGACAATTTCTACAGGGAGCAGCTAATGTTATACACAAATTGGAGGGATGAAAATACTGAATTGGTCAATGACATTATAAATCTGGAACAGAAATTTATCGAACTTAGCGATGAAATCCGTTCAGAAAGTCTTCAATTTAATCGCTTGGTGGGGCCAGATGAGTTCGAGGCATTGTTGGATGCAATTCGAAATGTAGATAAAGATAAAGAGGATGAGGATAGTGCAGTGAAAGAAAAAGCTCGTCCTTTAGATGATTATGAATTAGAGACACAAGAAGGTGATCCAGATCATTATCTACAGTTACATGGAAATAAATCGGATTTAGTAGGAGGAGCGATTGCCCAACCAGCAGTATTGTGTGAAGATGATATATTGAGTTTAGTTATAATATTTAATTACGATCAAAGACATTTTATATTACATGTAGGACATATCTTTACTCAAGAATTACTTCCACCTTTTACTGTTTTGTTCAATAGAGTTCCGGGTATAAATCCTGATGATGCTAGAAGTTTACTCGTGCAATCACGGGAAAAACTGCTTTTGGAATCGGTTGTCAAACTGTACACAGTACGTTTGGACTTCCAGTATCCCAGTGTGGCCAAACAATGCCCGAATTATTAGCAAGCACCGCGAACACCTTAGCATGTAAACTTGCAAAAGTAAGATTAATTATTTTGGATGAAACATCTATGCTAGGGAGCAGAACTCTGAACACAGATACACGTTTTGCTGGTATGTCTATTATAAGCATCGGGGACTTCAATCAGTTACCACCGGTAGGAGACAATTGGGGTTTTCAGCCAAACAGTAGTCGAAATCCATTGGCACACCGTGCTGGTGCTCCGTTGTAGGAACCATTCCATCTCTTTATGATGACTAAAATAATGCGGCAAAGAGATGATCTGGCATTCGCAATAGCCTTAAACAATATGGCTGTCGGTCAGATGACTTCTATCGATATAGAGTTAATAAATTCTAGATGTTACAATATTAATACTTTACCTATTGAGTCACATGGAGCGATACACTTATTTGCGACCAACAATGAAGTTGACAAATAAAATAATCAAGTATTGTCTCGAATGAACACTGAAGGGTACTCGGTTAAAGCACTTAATGTGGTTTCTGGAGCACCACATCCGCAAGCTGCTAGAAAAGCCTTACAATCTGTTAATGTTCTAGCTACAGTGCAGACCTATGGTCATCATAAGAACTTGTTTTTACGAGTAGATACACGTTATATGGTAACTGTGAATATTGACACTACGGTTGGCCTTGTAAATGGTAGTACAGAAATACTGAAGGCTATAGATTACGGTCGACACAAGGAAACAAGTGAAAAGCGGCCTTTACGTATTTGGGTTCTGTTCGATAAAAGTACGGGAATAGCTACAAGAAGTTAATGTCAAGTAACTTCTCGGAAACATCGTCAATATCTCAATTCGTATTGGACGCCATTAGATGCTGTCACTTATACTGTGAAAAGGTGGAAATCTTCAAATCTTGTGGTGAGGCGTACTCAGTTTCCACTAGTACCAGCAGAAGGTATTACAATTCACAAGTCGCAAGGTGCAACCTTAGAAAAATTTGTGGTTCATATTTCTAAAAATGTAAAAAGATCGATGTTGTATGTAGCTTGTTCTAGAGCAACGTTATCTTCTGGACTATTTTTAGTTGTAAATTCAGGTAGATTTAAACTTCCCTCTGAAATATCAGAAGCGAGTGCTGTAAGTATAGAAATGAAAAGACTAGAGCAATACAAATTGTTACCATATTTTAAATTTTTGCAAACACCTGAAGATAATACAGTTTAAATTGTATTTCATAACGTGCAATCATTACGCAAACATTTATTAGACGTCATCATAGATTCTATTATTCATTCGTTTGTTCGTCGTTTGTTGAAACCTGGGGATTTAGTAGAGACACTTTTGAACTTGTGTATGTAACTATGCCGTGTAGTGGCGGTCAAGAATACCACTACCCCATATCCTCCCGTGGGTGTCGTAAAAGGCGACAAAGGGAAACAGGCACGAGATGGGCAGCAGCATCTTCCTGATAATAGCCAGACAATAAAAAAACTGCGGTTGCCAACCCGCTCGCCAAGCGTGGCAACTATGGCAAATACCCCTCTATGAATGTAACAAAGAGACGGCCCCCAGTCCCCGGCGGCCCCGCTATTCCTGGCTACGGTGGCGACCATGGTAACGGCGGGGCAGGGGGTGCTAAGAATCTCCGGTGGAGGTTCGGTTGCCACCTTAGACGACTCGACCTGGCAACGTACAACGCACGTACCCTGAGGACTGACGAGAAGATCGTGGAGCTGGAAGAAGAGATAGACAAGTTGCGCTGGCATATTATAGGATTATCCGAAGTCCGAAGAGAGGGGGAGGACACGGTGATCCTCGAATCCGGCAACTTGCTCTATCACCGGGAGGGCGACCATCTGTCCCAAGGAGGTGTCGGATTTATCGTCCACAAGTCTCTCGTTAACAACGTTGTAAAGATCGGGAGTGTGTCGACGAGGGTTGCGTACCTTATACTCAGAATCACCAAACGGTATTCGCTGAAGGTCATACAGGTTTACGCACCAACCTCGGCACACCCCGATCAGGAGGTGGAGGAAATGTATGAGGATATCTCTAGAGCCATGCATTCCTCCAAAACCCAATATACGGTGTTAATGGGAGACTTCAATGCAAAACTAGGCACAAGAGAGAACGGTGAGCTGAAAGTGGGGAAATTTGGAATAGGGAAACGGAACCCAAGGGGCCAGCAGCTGGCCGACTTCATGGAGAAAGAGGGACTCTTTATGATGAACTCTTTCTTCCAGAAGCGGCCCCACAGGAAGTGGACCTGGTCGAGCCCCGACGGTTCGACAAAAAATGAGATTGACTTCATTATGACGACCAGACGACAACTGTTCAGTGATGTCTCCGTGATCGCGAGGGTGAAAACTGGTAGCGATCACCGAATGGTTAGAGGCACACTGAACCTAAACGTTAAGTTGGAGAGGTCTCGTCTAATGAAGTCAACGCTCCGTCCCCCTCGTGCTCTGTTCCAAAGTCCCGAGACCTTTCAGCTCGAGTTACAAAACCGTTTTCAGTGCCTAGAAGACTGCAATGAAGTGGACGATATGAATGACAAGCTCGTGGAAACTGTCCATGCGGTCGGAGCTAAGTTCTGCAAGACCCGCCGCAGAAGAACACAAAAACTCTCCGATCACACTCTTAATCTCATGGCTGTTAGACGGGAGATGAAGCTACATTCTTCAACAGACTTGACAGCATACAGGCATCTGAACAGACAGATCTCCAAATGCATGCGGCGGCACTTACGCAACTTCAATACAGCTCGTATTGAAGAAGCGATCGAGCGGAACCAAGGCTCCAAAGTCTTTGCCAGAGATCTGTCTGCCAGAAAGAGCACCTGTCAAAGCTGAAGACAGAGTGTGGCAGCATCGTTTCCGGGACACCTGAGATTTTGAGTGAGATTGAGAGTTTCTATGGGCAGCTGTACACGTCATCGTTGGAGCCACACGCAAGTGTGAGTAACGATCCAAGAGCGAGTCTCATCCGACACTATTCCGAAGATATCCCGGACGTCAGTCTGAGCGAGATTAGAATGGCTCTCCAGCACCTTAAAAACGGTAAGGCCCCAGGCGAGGATGGAATTACAGCGGAGCTTCTGAAAGCGGGTGGAAGACCGGTACTTGAAGTCCTTCAGAAGCTCTTTAATTCCGTCCTCCATGGTGGCATTACACCGGAGGCGTGGAGCAGAAGTGCGGTGGTCTTGTTCTTCAAGAAAGGTGACAACGCTCTCTTGAAGAACTACAGACCGATTTTCCTTCTGAGCCGCGTCTACGTGCTGTTTTCGAGAGTCATTACGAATCGTCTCGCGCGCAGACTTGACGACTTCCAGCCTCCCGAACAAGCCGGTTTCCGAAAGGGCTTTAGCACCATAGACCACATACATACCCTTCGGCAAATTGTACAGAAGTCCGAAGAGTACAATTTGCCACTATGTCTGGCGTATGTGGACTATGAGAAAGCCTTTGATTCCGTCGAAATTTGGGCGGTGCTGCAGTCCCTTCAGCGGTGCCAAGTTGACTGTCGGTATATCGAAGTGTTGAAGTGCTTGTACAGTAGGGCTACGATGGCTATCCGAGTACAGAACCAGAGTACGAAACCTATCCAATTGCAGAGAGCTGTAAGACAGGGTGACGTCATATCCCCGAAACTCTTCACCGCTGCATTGGAAGACGTTTTCAAGCTTCTGGACTGGAAAGGATACGGTATCAACATCAATGGCGAGTACATCACTCACCTTCGATTTGCCGACGATATAGTCCTTATGGCAGAATCGCTGGAGGACCTAAGCACTATGCTCAATGACCTCGATAGTGTTTCCCAACGGATAGGTCTTAAGATGAACATGGACAAAACAAAGATCATGTTCAATGTCCATGTCACACCTATGCCGGTAGTTGTTGGGAACACTAAGCTCGAAGTTGTTGACGAGTATGTTTACCTGGGACAAATAGTCCGACTAGGTAAGTCCAACTTCGACCGAGAGGTCAATCGACGGATTCAACTCGGCTGGGCAGCGTTCGGGAAGCTACGACACATCTTCTCGTCAGACATACCTCAAAACCTGAAAACGAAATTGTACAACCAGTGCGTGTTGCCAGTGATGACTTATGGAACTGAGACGTCGTCCTTCACTGCTGGCCGTATGAGGAAGCTCAAGGTCGCTCAGCGAGCTATGGAGAGGGCTATGCTCGGAGTTTCTCTGCGTGATAAACTTAGGAATGAGGATATCCGCAGTAGAACCAGAGTAACCGACACAGCCCAACGGATTAGTAAGCTGAAGTGGCAGTGGGCCAGCCATATAGCTCGAAGAACCGACAACCGATGGGGAAGAAAGGTTCTCGAGTGGCAGCCTCGTACCGGTAGGCGAAGTGTAGGGCGTCCCCCCACGAGATGGAGTGACGACCTGGTAAGACATGCAGGAAGTCGATGGATGCAGGTGGCTCAGGACCGTGCTTTGTGGCATTCTTTGGGGGAGGCCTATGTTCAGCAGTGGACTTGTGAAGGGCTGTAATGATGATGATGATGATGACTTTTGAACTTGATGGTTTTTATGAGGTGTGCAGAATAGATGGTCCAGCTATATCTAATGCAAATCCAGGTTGGGGATCTATCGCGTATGTACGTCGTTATAGATGGATCATGTAAAAGATATTATTTAAATAACGGAGGCGCTGCAAACAGCCATTGTGAATGCTTGCATTTTGAAATGTTTAATATCAGAGTGATAACTGTATATAGGTCACTACAATATCAAATTAATGTTGCAATAGAATGCATAAATACAACAATATACGGCAGCAACCTCAATAGGTATTGTTTAGGCCCAAAAAAAGGTAATTGGTACGCAATCCAATCACGTTCGACTTCGTGAATCGCCCGATGGTACCAGGTGTCATGCGAGTCGCGGTGCGGGGCCGGTGGTGTACTGGCTCCGGTGATTCCGACGCTGGACTAAGAGAAGCTGTAGCTCGCTGGCAGCTGTGCAGTTAATTAGCATACCTCGGTTGCGGCTGCCAAGGTTTCGGGCGA